CTCTGTCTGGTGAATTCTCTCACCCTCCCATGCCTCTGACCTGTACCCCAGTTCTTGTATAAATAAATCTTTAAAAATATAAAATAAATAAAATGAGGATTCACAAAAGTTTTTACCATGGGGCTGTGATATGGACAAAATAGGGCTTTTTGTACATGTTTTAGCATACTAGTTACAGCTTCATCTTTTCCTCTCTCAAGAGAGCAAATTTGAAAGCAAATGAGCAAACGTGACATTATTCATGATGATCCTCAAAGATATTGTGTTTTATTAAGAACATTTTCAAAAGTATTTTTCTACTAATGCCTAATCTTACATCTTACGCTAAACTTGATCTTAAAGTATTTTACAGTTGTTAGGGACAAATGAGTATGTCTTGACACTTTGGTTGAAAACTGGTGATTTAAGATATGGTCCCCTGTGTCAAGAAACATAATGTACTTGAAATTATTTGTGATTCTCTATCTACTACTGCTGATGGAGAAAGGTTAAAAAAGGGAAAGAAATGACAATTTAAAAGAGCCCATTTCAAAAATAAGACTTTTCATTTTACCAGTCTCAACACCTCTGCCATTGACATTATTACCGGCATTAACATCGGTAGAGTGATCCTGCTCATCATCAGAGCATATGAATCTAGGGATGTCTATAGAACAAGGACACTGTCTTTACTCTTGGGGGCCTTTGTTCTTCCCTATTAAAACAAATACTTAGAAAATGTATGTTTAAATTGGTTCAATTACTCTTAGATGTTCTAAACTTATCACTATGATTTTATACTGCATATTTCACTCATTTTAAGATGTGTGACATGTATACTAAGTAAAAAAAAACATAGATTTTGCTACAAAATAAAACTGCTCTTCTTTATTAAATATTGGTGTGAGTTAAATTTTTATAAACATGAGAATGTTTGAAACATGCTTTTACCTGAACTGGACTGCTTATTTTTCATTAGCCTTGTAGCAAGTTATTTCTTTAAATACTTGCTTTCTGACAGTTTTAATATGTGTTTTGGAATTTTTAAGCCATATTTCTTACATTGGATTGTCTTAAAGTTTGACATCTACCTAATGTGCAATCTCCCTGCTTCATTGTATAAACAGGGTGTTTGTAACAAAATACTTACTTGAAAAGGTTTCTGATTTCCATTCTCAAAACTATTGAGGGAGCTTGTAACACGTGTGATCCAATATATAGGTATGATTTGTGTATGTATTTGAGACTGCTGATACTAATGATTGATTTTTTTTCCTTTTCAATTTACAACATACCATTAGTTCATGCCAGAATGCATTCATCATTGTACCCTATTCCTAACGTTGTGTCCTGTTTCTACATTCATTTTATTCTCTTTAGCAATACCTTTGCATGTGTATATTTTTATAAGATGCATATCTTGTTTGTATGTTTAATGTCTATACAGTATGTTGCTATACAATTTTGTCTTTTTACTTTTTTTACTAAGCATTAACTCTTGTTTTTAAGATTTATTTATTTATGCATATAAGAGTTGGGGTACAGGCCAGAGGTGTGTGTGTTGAGAGGATTCATCAAAGATAAGAGTGGGGACCAGAACAGGCAGATTGACCGAAGTACATTGCTGAGGGGAGCAGCAGGCGAGTCAGGAGAGATCTGCTGCACCATGTAGGTTGCTCCCTGGCTGGCTGGGGATCGAACTTGTGCTGCAGAGGTTGCGGATAGCTTCATAACTTGTGTCTTAACCCCTTGAGCCACCAGGGAGGCCCTAAGCATTAACTCTTTTTTTTTGTTTTTCTTTTTCCCTAAGCATTAACTCTTAAAGATTCACTTGTTTTTCTGTAAATACAGATGGATATTCAAAAGCTATGAAGCAGCTAGCAAGCAAGCAACCTTGACCTTACTGGAGAGTAAGAGAAGCCTCAGGTCTGGAATAGAGTAGCAGGTGTGGATCACTAATTCATCACACTGATACATTGACCACACCAAAGTATCATTATTATTAAGTACCAAAATATGAAGTACAAAATAATATTTGTTAAAATTTCAGAGAAGAGGGAAGTTTCAGTAAAGGGTAGAGAATTAAAGAGAACTAGAAACTGAGGAAACCAAGATTCAAAAATGCAACAGGAAAAGAGATTTAGGTGTTGGAAATGTTGGGAAGATGCAGGAGTGGCAATAAAGCAATGAAAGTGAAGGCATAAATTCAGAGGCTGCTTGATACAGGGTAGCAACAAATAATTTATTTTTTATTTTATTTATTTTTTTTTTTAAATACAAAATATTTATTTACTTAAATATTTTATGAGTTTTGTAGACTCTCATAATTCACTTTTCTGTGCATCCCTTTCAGTTGTAAAGGACGTGAAATAGAGATACAAACTGTGAAGGAAAGAGTGATTCCATACTATGTGAGCCAAGGATGTTATGGGAGTCAATGAAGCCTAATGCAACTATCCTTTATGACATATTACCCAAAAATGAAAATATAGACTGTGATTTTATATACTTATAAAATACCAAGAATATACTTTGTTGTTATTCATAGTGCTCTGATTAATAGTGCTCTGTCCACATAAACAGAAAGGAGGATTTGATGCTGAAATTCAGTTTGGTTCAAGAAATGCTCGTGCAGCACCCATATGAGTTCTGTGCAGTGTCTTGGCCTGCAAAGTTGCAGACCCTCTTGGAGCTTAAAGTCCATTGGCAGAATCAGGCATGTAGATAATTACAATAAAAACTAGTAAATATAGCACAAAATGTTCTATCTCTGTGACTATGCATTAGTTGTTTAACAACTATGATCCTCAATATCCTCATTTGCAAAATAAGGGAAATGATACAACCTATTTCAAATTATCCTTATGAGTATAGAGTAAGATAATATATATAAATCTCTTAATATGGTGCCTAGCATACTAAGCATACAACAATGCTATTTGTTACTAGTAATTCTTTTTTTTTTTTTTTTTTGATTTTTTTTTTTAATCTTAAATTTTATTTTTATATTCCCCCATACAATTGCAAACGCCCCATTCTGACCCCAATCCTTCCCCTCCCGCCCCCCAACCCCCAAAAAGTGTCTCTGGTTCATAGTTTTTTGTTGATTTTGATTTTCACTTTCTTATATTCATTTTCCTGGTCCCTTATTTAAGTTTTCTAGATTCCTGCTATGAGTGAGACCATCCGGTATTTTTCTTTTTCTTTTTGGCTTATTTCACTGAGCATGATCCCTTCCAGCGCCATCCATGTTGCTGCAAATTGCATGTGTTTATCTTTTTTGAATGCTGAGTAATATTCCATGGTATATATGTACCACATCTTCTTGATCCAGTCATCTACTTTTGGGCATTTGGGTTGTTTCCAAAGCTTAGCTATTGTAAACAGTGCTGCTATAAACATAGGGGTGCAGGTGCTCTTTGGAATTGATGTTTCTGTGTCCTTTGGGTAAATACCTAGGAGTGGAATTGCTGGATCATATGGAAGCTCTAAGCAACAAATAATTTAAATGATGCTTTATAGATATGTGCAAGATTGGAAAAGTGGTTTTGCCATGGACTTACTCTGTCTTTGTTTATAACTACTTTTTTACACTCTTTTTCTTTTGTTATAGCTTCCTTATGTGGCTCAGAAAGATAGTAACAAAAGTTTCAATGCATACTCTCTACACAAATGGTGATACAAGATGTGTCCTCATCTTGTGTTTTATTATATGTAAACTTATGAGTAGACTATCCCTGGTTCTTCTTGGATGTCTTTTCCTTGGACCAATTGTGGGGGACATGGGAATGGAGTACCATGATTGGTCAGACTTGTACAACATGCGCAGGTCTGAGATGAGAAATAAACTGGTATGAGTGACAGGCAAACCTACAGGAGAAATGCAGATGGAGAAAGAGAACTGTTCCTCTAAGGAAGGAAGAAGCTAAACAAAAGCAGAAGATACCCTTTAAAGTTTCCCATGTGATCCTTCTAACAGTTCCAAGAAGCAGGTAGGAATAGGAATGTCCACTCTAATTCATAGAAATGATAATATATTTGGTGCAGTTTTTAATTTGTAAGTGCTTGAGCAAGATCTTGATCAAAATCCACTGATTTCTAGAGTGGGGAAATGAAATGATCGAAGTCATAGCTTAATAATGTAGAGATAAACTCAAATGGTTACGTTTTATGTTTGAACAAAATTTCCTTCTGTTCTTTTAATTTTCGTTATTATGTTCCTATGACAATTCTGTAAGAGTAAAATTCATAAAATCAATGCCAAAAGTTTTCATTATTTAAAAAAAGCACAAATCTAGATCTTAAGCACATACCCACACACAACTCACATGCATTCTCAGACACAATCCTATTACATTTATTGATATTTTCTTATATTCTTGGAACCTCCTATCTGCCTTACACATATGATCTCATTTAACCTTCACAGACTGGCTCTGTGGTGCAGACTCTGTTGTTACTCACACTTTAGAAAATCACAGAGAGGTAAAATAATTTGCCTGAGTTCATATAAGTAATATTTCACATAGTTTATTTGTGATTGCTAATGCTAGACAATCTGCCATCAATTTAAACCACATGTTTACTCCACTGGAATTCACAAGATTCATTAATATTGTATTTGACTGTTAGTTAGAATAAATAGGCACACACAGGTCTAGACCAACATAAATTTAATTGCCAATAGATGACCAACTCCAATTCTTCCTATACACATAAAGCCCAAAGTAGACATGTGGGATAATGTCAGATGTTAAATAGTGTGATGTTCACAAGTACATTGCCCAATATACCATTCTGTGACTTTATCTGTTATTTAAACACCTCTGCCAGAACTGAAATCTTAGTGAATGCATTTTTCATATTTCATTCTGAATATAATTGCTCTTGAGTTTTAATATAAAAGACCAGCACTTAGCAGCTGGAAAATAACATTTTGATGGTAGCTGAGACTTGGGGAAAAACTCTACAACAGATCCCGTCAATATTCAGCTGACAGAGGCTACTTCTGCTTGTTTCAGGGGAAGATTTTCAATCTGTCTGCAACTAGCTGCCAAAACTTTTGCATGAATAGGGAAGAATACAGTCAATCACCCAGATGTTCCACCTGCAGGAGGCCATGCACCCAGCTATTTGGAAACAATCAGGTGTCCAGAACATGAAGACAACACATCTGGAAGGTGATTGTGTGTGTGTGTGTGTGAACTTTTAAAGAAGATATATTGATATCATGTTGAAATAATTTTAACCCCTCTTGTACCTAACTGAGAAAAAGAACAAATTTAGAGAAATGTTTAAGTATAGTCTATATAACATTGAAATTACTGACAAACTGTGGATAATTTTCTCAACATATTCATGAATGTGTGTTATCTAATGCCTAGTCTTACTTGAATATTGATTATTGATTATTTGAATATTGATTATCTATATTCCTGTAATGGTATATTAAATGACGTACCTACCTCTAGTTTTTCTTGGCTTCCTACCATCTCCACCTAACTCCTAACACTTTATTAAGGTTATCTAATCCTAAGTGAATTCAAATGTACAATATAGAAAAAAAAAACATACTTAACTTCCCTAGAAACTCAAATTAAAATTACAAAACATACTGCAGGGATTTTAAGTAGGTGGAGGATATGGTTAGAAATGTTTTTAAAGGCTTAGCTCAAGAAATACATAATACAGATCTGAGATTTTGAGAAACAGTATCAAAATATAGTAATTTAGTATGCGGAAATATCACAATATACCGGAATAGTGAAACACTAAAAGTTAGTATGGTTGTACCTTTTTTAGATCCATTGGGGTATTAGAGTCCCAGTATTAGATGGACAGAGGTAATGGGAAGATTATGAAGACAAGATCAGGAAACAAGAATGTTACATTTTATTAAACTGGGACATAAAAGGAAATATAACTTGAACTAGCCAGACATGCTCTAGATAAGATTCTAAAGAGTAGAGAACTGTGAGCTGAAATGTAGGCTACCTTATAGGTCTGGAGCCATACTCTCTTCTTGCTAAAATAATCAATTATTTTTTCTCTTTTAAGAAATAGATTTAATGCAACAGCTGAACACTGTGATAAATTGTCTGAAACTAGTGTGGACCATCTGGCTGTCATGAATAGTCTTAAATAAATTGAACCAAAAGTTAGAAATCTAAGGAGACAGTAGCTCCCATCTTAAGAGAATGTGCAAGCTTTGGAAAACATGCTCTGATTTTCAGATTCTTATTCATTGCAATGTGGTACATTGGCTCATCAGAGGTGATCATGATACCATAACTAGTTCCAGACAATGAAAGCATAAATAGATTTATAAAAGGAGTCACAGATCTCAGAATACCAGAGACACTCCCGATAACCAATGAGGCTTACTCTAAAATTTGTGCTCATGGATTCAGTCTTTAGTTGGCATTAATGGAAACTTAGTGATGTTAGAATCATTTGTCCTGATGATTTCTTTCTTTTATAGGTCCACATCAAAAAATACTCATTTATTCATGCATCCATTAAGAAGCATTTATTGAATATTTGCTATGTACTAGACACTGTGACACAAATAAACAAAATGTGGTCCCTATCCTTTGGAGTACATAATCTAATGGAAGAATAGAAGGGAAACAATTTTAATGGAATTATAATAATGATGCTTAGGCAAGGTTTCAGTGACTCTGCCTGGGAAGATGGAAGGGGCTTCAAAGAGACTTTGAGAAAACAAAGGGACTTAGAGAAAACAAAATAGGTTTCTTGAGCTAAAATGAAGCACAGACACAGAGAAGGCCTAATTTTATTTGTGGGTATCATATTTCTCCTCATAATACCACAGAAAAACAATCAATTTTGTGGACACACATATCTTAATCATCACACCTACCATCAATATGTTGAGATTAGCTAATGCAAGCTGAGCTATTGTGAAAATAGACCCTAAATTCTTAAGGATGAAGCATTTTATTTCTGGCACATGTAATTTTAGGTCAGGTATTCCAGAGATTTAGAGAATCAAGCTCCTTCTGCCTATGACCCTGTCATATTCAAGGATTTTTGGTCAACAGCATATTTTTATTCCAACAGCATGGTACAGGAGAGCTATATCTGGGGCCAAGCAGAAAAAGATTGTAAGAGGGTGAAGAGGACATACTTCTGCTTTAAGATGCCCTAAAGCAGTACACACCCTTTAAACTCACATGTAGTTTGCCAAGAAGCAGTCTCAAAGCTGCATCTAAGTATAGAAAGGGTTGGAAAATTTAATCAGTCATGTCCCCAGAAAGGGGAGATAAGGTTTTGATGGCTAGCAAGTGTTTTCTCCCACAAATATAAAACTGATAAAAGTGTAAAAATTCTAGATCATTCTCAATGAGTGTAAACCAATGAGATAAAATTTCTCAGTATATTATATAAAAATCTTTATATTGGCCTAAAAATTAATTGTGTACAAACAGAATAGGAAACTCATATTAACAACATGCTTGCAGGAAAAATTCCTGGAGATTTTTGCATGAAGAATGATTCAATATGGATCAGCAATTTGGTATGATTCCTAACAAACTGACACATGCATTTGTAGACTGCATCAATACAAGTATACAAGAAGCAATTAATTCTTATCTAGAAATATTTAATTCAAAAGCTTTTGCTAGAGTTCTGGTGATATTTTAAGAGACATACAAGTGAACAGAAGTCTATGGTGGTAAAGTGATGGGAATCTAAAACTTTGTTATTTGAGGAGAAGTAGTAAAAAAAAAAAAAAAACAAAACAGGTTGTCTCCTATAGAAGAAATAGGGAAGTTGTATGTGTGAGTGTATGTGTGTGTATGTGTGTATGTGTGTGAAATGGGAAAGGATGTGGATTAAAGTGGTCTTTAAAATTCAAAGAAATGTAAAGTTTTAGTACTTGAAGTTTAGTCACATGGAAGAGAGAGTAGATTCATTCTCTTCTGCATCATGAAACCAAGGAAAGAACATTTTGGCTTAATATGATGAAGATCTGAATAATAATTGAAGCTATCCAAGAATGGTGGAATAGGATGCTTAGAGAACTATTGGGATTCACATCACTGGAAGTGCTTGAACAGAAGCTGAATGACCTTGTGTCGAACTTGCTGTTCAAAGAATTTTCTCTTAAAATGGACTAGATGATCTCTAAAATATTTTCCAATTCTAGGAGTGACTAAATTTGCCAATATTACTATGATTCTCTGGATGATACAAGCCCAAATAAAATTCCAAGTGAGACATGACTGAAGGTGACTGCTGTTAACTTGAGGAAGAGGCATAAACAGTATGGCCAATATCATTGATGCTGCCAGTGCCCCTAGCAAAGCACTTTTGAAATCATTTTGACTGGCAGCTATTTTTCATGAGACACTATGTTACTTGAAATCAAACACTAGCAAAGTACGCTTGTTCTGATTTAAGAATTTGGCAGATATTTTTTTGAAAATGAACATTGTGCCTCTGTTACTTTAAGAAGACAATGTACAGTATTATTGCCAATAACAACATTTGAGATTTAAGGCAAAAAATGGAAGAATGGATCTTTTATATTTTTATATGACCTTGACTGTTTCCCAATACTTAAAGAAATTTATGATGATGTCAGTGGTGATATTATTAATAAATTTGATTTATTTTATGTTCAGTGATGAAATGAATGATATGTATAACTCAATGAGTTATACTTTCTAAGTTACCAATAAATAATATCATAAAATCATGCATGGAAAAAAGACCCCCTTGAAGTGCATAATAGAAGCAATGGATTTTTATGTAGCAGAGAACAAAAATTATTGCTATGTTTTCAGATTCTATATTGTAACTAACTTTTTTTTAAAGATTTATTTATTTATTTATTTTTATACAATAGCTGGGGTACAGGCCAGAGGCATGGGAGGGTGAGAGGATTCACTAGAGACAGAGCAGGGAGCAGAACAGGCAGACGGACCAAAATACGCTGCTGAGGGGAGCAGCGGGTGAGACAGGAAAGGTCTGCCGCACCATGTGGGAATCTCCCTGGCTGGCCAGGAATTGAACCTGCACTGTACAGGCTGCGGACAGCTTCACAGTGCTGCTGTTAACCTGCTGCGCCACCGGGGAGGCCCCTATTGTAACTAACTTAAAAAAAAAGTGCCACTTGTTGAATTTTGGTGTAGTATCAAAGAACAGCCAAAGTATCTGAAATTGCTACTAAAATGCTCCTTTCCCCTTGAACTACATAACTGAAAGAGGCCAAATTTTCTTCATGAAATTACCCAAAAGCACACATTACAATACTGAATGCCAAAACAGATGTAAGAATTTAGGTTTCTTCTACTAGAGTGAATCTTAACAAGATTTGTAAAAGTACAAAACAATGCCACTTGTTTAGCTAAGTTATTTTGCTTTGACAAATAGTTACTTTTTATATAGGTATGATTTGTGTAAGTGTGTAATTGGGTTTATTATTACTGTAAATGAATTAATAAATATTTTAAAAGCTTATTTTACTTTCCAATAATGGCAAATAGCTAAACTATTTCTTTCTTTCATTTGTACTTTCTTTCATTTGTACACTCATGACTTCTAGACATGAATTCTAGAGTATACATTCTGCTTCCTTTTTGAGTCCCCAGACCTTAGTTTTTCTTGACCATTTAGATTGTGATTCAAGACAACCTAGACAACCTCACATCATCTCTAAAACTCTTTTTTTTTTTTTTTTTTATAGAGGCATGCTTTATTTATTTGTTTGCTGGTTTGTTTGTTTGTTTTGTTTATACATGCACTGGGTACAGTCAGAAGCGCGGGAGGGCGAGAGAATTCACCAGAGCCAGAGCGGGGAGCAGAGCAGGCAGAAGGACCGAAGTACACTGCTGAGGGGAGCAGCGGGCGGCAGGAGAGGTCTGCGCGCCATGTGGGACCCTCCTCTGGTGGCCGGGGAGCAGCCGGGGATCGAACCGGCGCCGCAGAGGCCGCGCGCAGCTTCGCAACCCAGCGCTCAACCGCTGCGCCACCGGGGAGGCCCTCTAAAACTCTTGATTCTCACCTATTCCATAAGAAGTCTGGCATCTGTGACCCATTGCTTGGAAGAGTGCAATAATTTCATCAACTGCAGTGCTTTACCTAGCTTTCCTTGATTTATATTGATCCAGGAAGAGTCATAACATCCTCCAGATTTTAGTAGGCATATCTCATGCTCTTTAGGAAGGCACAAAGAATTACCTTTTCTTAGACTTCATTTTCAGGGTAGGCACTCCGTACTCTATCTAGGTGTGTGTGTAGGAGGGAGTGTTATGTTCAAAGCACTGCCTGCATGACCCACCACTGAATAAGCCTGGTGGCTG